CAAAACGCTGCGACCAGGCTGTTGATGGCCTCCCTATGCGGGAGTACATCCAGCCTGTGCTAAAGTTGTTGCACTGGCTACCAATAATGTTCCAGATTTGCTTCAAGGTGCTGGTTTTGACCATTAAATCCCTTAATGGCCAGGGGCCTGCCTACCTGAGAGACTGCCCTTTCTCGTATGTTCCCCAGAGAGCACTGCAATCTGGAACACAAAACTGCCTGGCCCCCCCTGGGCCAAGGGACACCAGGCTGGTGGCAACTAGGACCAGGGCGTTCTCCCTGGTGGCACCAATGCTCTGGAACGAGCTCCCTAGTGAGATCAGGGCTCTGCAGGACCTCCAGCAATTCCACAGAGCCGTGAAAATAGAGCTGTTTTGTCCGGCGTTCCAGTAATAATTGATTCTATCGGTCATGCCACACTTGCACTGTATTATATGATGCCGTTGTATTTAAATAGTTTAATTGTATTTATTGGAATTTTATTGGAATTTTATTGGAATTTTATGGAATTGTATTTTATGTTGTATTTTTCTGGTTTTAAAATTGTATGCTGGTTTTAAAATGCTATGTAAGCCGCCCTGAGCCGCTTCGGCGGGAGGGCGGGTTAGAAATGTAATTAATAATTTTTAAAAATTGTCTTTTCCTGTGACTCTTGTCTTCTAATAATGTGGCCAAAGTATGATAGCCTCAGTTTAGTCATTTTATCTTCCAGGGAGAGTTCAGGCTTGATTTGGTCTAAAACCCACTTATTTGTCTTTTTTGGCAGTCCATGGTATCCGTAAAACTCTCCTCCAACACCACATTTCAAAGGAATCTACCTTCTTCCAGTTAACTTTCTTAATTGTTCAACTTTCACACCCATACTTTGTAACAGGGAATACTAAGGCATGAATTCACTTGTTTCTGGTCACCATAGTGGCATCCCTTAAATCTTTTCTAGCTCTATTAAGGCTGCCCTTCCCAGTCTCAGTCTCCTCCTGATTTCTTGGTTGCAGTTTCCCTTTGGGTTGATGATGGAGCCAAGGGATAGAAAATCTTGAACAAATTTCAGTTTCTTCTTCATCAACCTTAAAGTTGCATAATTCCCCGGTAGTCATTACTTTTGTTTTCTTGATTTTCAGCTGTAATCCTGCTTAGGAGCTTTCTGCTTTAACCTTCATCAGTAGCCATTTCAAGTCTTCACTGTTTTCCACCAGAAATGTGGTGTCATTTGTGTATCTCAAATTGTTAATGTTCCTTCCACCAATTTTCACTCCACCTTCATCTAAATCTGATCCAGCTTTCCTTATGATGTGTTCTGCATACAGGTTTAAGAGATAGGGAGATAAAAGACATTCTTGTTTGACACCTTTGCCAATCGGAAACCATTCTGTTTCTCCATATTCTGTCCTAACAGTGGCCTTTTGTCTGGAGTATAGATTGCACATCAAAACAGTCAGATGTTGTGGCATACCCATTTCCTTTAAAGCTAACCATTGTTTTTCATGATCTCTGAAATACAAGCTGATTTACTTCTGAAAGTCTCTCATATGCTCCAGTAACATTTCTTTACCTGGGTGGCATCTAGGGCATTTTATCTGTCTGAAGTCCCTCCTTGCCTCAATCCCCACCAGCCCCAGGCTCCACCTCTCAAATTTCTAGGAATTTCCCAACCTGGAGTTGGCATCCCTATCTCCTTCCCACCCAACAGACAAACCTACCTTTATCTACCCCTCTGTCTTCAGCTTTCTGTCTCCTTTCCCCCTGCAGCTTCTACTGAGGAAAACAATGGTCTTTCTCCACAGTGGGGACTAAAGCAGTGTACATTATTCACTCCTCCTTTTTATCCACACAACAACCCTATGAGGTAGGTTAGGCTGAGAGTATGTGACTAGTCCAAAACCACCCAGTGAGTTTTCACAGCAAGATGGGGATCTAAACCTGGGTCTTGCAAACCCTACTCTGAATCTCTGACCATTATACTACACTGACTTTCATAGGGTGGCTGCTGTTGAGCAGCAGCCAGGCCTAGTTGAATCTTGCAAGTCAGGTGATATCAAGTCACCCAGAGGGTACTGCTAGGGCTAGGTTTGCCAGCCTCCAGGTGGGACCCCCAGAATGACAACTGAACTCCAAACAACAGAGATCTGTCTCCCTGGAGAAAATGGGTGGCCTCTGTGGCATTATATCCAGCTGAGGCCTCTCCCCTCCCCAAACTCTGCACCACAGAATCTACAGGAATTTCCCAACCTGGAGCAGGCAATTCTAGTCCCAGGCCTGGCTCCAAAATAGGCCTGGAAAGTGTCCTGCCCCCTCCCCCTGCCTTTTTAACCCACCCTGCCTGCTATTTAGCCATTCATACTGCAGGAGGAATCCTCCCCAATCCCAGCTCCAGTTCTGCTTTTGTTTTCTGCCCTCTTCCCCCACTCATCATCTCTCTTTGTGTCTGCTTCTGTCTTTCTGGCTATCAGTCAGTCTATCTCTCACTGTCAATATGGCGGGGCCTGGAGTATATCCCTGCGGCAGCCATTTCAAAAGGTATTGGGGGGAATTCAACCCTCTCCAAGGTGTTTTTTTTTAGTTTTTGGATTTTTTTCACAGACCCATAGAATTCCCTGAATCTGTAGAAAAACTGTTGGGGGAGAGTGTGCCCTAGTGTGCCCCAGTTTGTGGAAATAAGTATTCACATGGAGAGGGGACTGTTAAGAATTAGATACATAGATAGATTTACATAGGTCCCAGTCACACGGAGGGTTTTGGCCCGGGAGAGGGACGGATCGGGGGCACAGCAAACAGGCGCGATCTCACCGCAACATCTTGGAAGCGGCGTGCACCTGTCCCCAATCCGTCCCTACCCCCGAAAACCCGCAGCAAAAAAGAACCACTGACAGAGGTGGTCTTACCTGAACGGCTGCGGCAAGCGCGGCCGTGGGATCGCCAGCGCATCCTTCTACCGGCGCATCCCCAGCTCCTGGCCGAACTGCGCATGCACACGCATGCACAGCCGGCTGCCTCGGTCTCTGACTGTGGCTTCCTCCCCGGCATCTGATCGTGCCGGGGAGCAATGGCGCTGCGGCTCAGGGGATCCATGTGATCCCGCCGCAGCGTGTCTATTTTGGTGCGGCTTCCAAAAGTCGCACTTTGGCCACACATTTTCTCCCCCGTGTGGCAGGGGCCATAATTCAGTATTGGGTTTGTTTGTTTTTTAAAAAGCTCTGAGTTCATACAACAGTGGTAGCTGTTGGTTCAGTCTATAACCTAGTCAGATCAGATGTCCAGTGTTTACTGTGGCTAAGCAGCAGAGCAGAAAATTCTGTAGCAAGTTCAACAATAAAAAGGGAGGCTTATACAAAAATCACACTGATGTTTATCTTTCCTTCATTAAAATGCACTAGTATTGGCAAATGATACCATTTGTTCTAGGAACACTTGATGAGACAGAAGGTTCTTAATGCTTTCCACCAATGGAAAAAAGTCACCGTTCAGGAAAAGGCTGTGAAAAATTGGAAGAGGAACATACCAAATGTTTGACTAAAGGAAACAAACTGTCACTTTCTGTTATAGGACCTTTTTCTCGCTTGCACTCCTACTGCTGTTTCTCCTGCAAATGTCCTTTCAAGTGGGAATCCTTCTCTGGCTGTATCTAATCCTGACCATTTCCGTTTGAGAGATACACCTTATGTTTCCAGTCAAAACACTTATTATTTCACACTTCATCCTCAAAACATTGGGCTAGAGAATGTGGGATATTCAGATTCAAATTCCCACTCAGACATGAAGCAGATTGGGTTCACATGACAACCCTACAAGAAGCTCTAGGCTGAGAGGCAGTGGCTTGCCTCGTGCACCTCAGGGGGTTATTACGTGCATAAAACGGGCGGCTCTCACAGTGTGCTGCTCTGAGTTTCTTTTGGGATGGGTGGGAAGTGCATCTTATCTCTATAGTAACCAGTTCTCCTGATGGCTCCATCTCTTTGTTAATATGAATCAAAGTGATTAATAAACACTTGACTCCAGTTTGAGGGAGGCATTATGTTGAAGGTAGAGTTGAAGCAAAGTGTTGGCTATGGAATGGGGCTCTTGCCGACCTAGCAGTTCGAAAGCAAGAAATTGCAAGTAGATAAATAGGGACCACTTCGGTGGGAAGGTAACAGTGTTCCGTGCGCCTTGGTGTTTAGTCATGCCAGCCACATGACCACGGAAACGTCTTCGGACAGCGTTGGCTCTTTGGCTTTGAAACAGAGATGAGCACTGCAACCCTAGAGTCGGATTCGACTGGCTTTCGAGCAAGGGAACCTTTACCTTTTTATGGAATGGGGAGGAGATGGTGCAGCAAGGGAGATGGGGGGGGGGAAGCTGTACCCATGAGAGAAATGAGATGGGAATGACCTGCAACCCCTCTTGCCCGCCCCCAGTCCTTTGTGTGGAATTTCACAGGCCATATAGTCACACTGGTCCTTTTTGCATTTGCCTGCTACTCTGGATTTTCTCAGTGTTCAAGTCGAGGCAATTTAAGTCCATTGCAAAACAGCATCCAAATAACCCGGGGCAACAGCAGGTTGAAACTGGGCTAACCACTGAAGGGAGCAGTGTTCCCTCTAAGCTGAGTTAGTGTGAGCTAGCTCAGTTTTTTTAAGCCTCCGGCTCACACATTTTTGTCCTTGCTTAGGAAGGGTGGCTCCAGAGCACACTAATTTATGCAGGAGCCAAATCACTCGCTCACAACTTTAATGCCAGTCGCTCACAAAGTAGAATTTTTGCTCACAAGGCTCCATAGCTTAGAGGGATTATTGGAAGGGAGGTAATGTAATGCAGAAGGGGGGGGGGGACCCAGAATAAAAAGAAGGCTGAACTCAATTTTAATGTAGAATTGCTTGGAGAACACTGCAGTGAACATGGGGTGCAGAAAGGGTCACTAAATGCATTCATTCTGAACCTTCCCACTTTTTAACATATTAGAAAGTGCTATGTGGCTTTCTTCAGCATAAATTTTTCAAATTTTTCCCCCTTTCTCTCCTCCAGAGGAGCTTTCTCAATTGTCAGGAGGTGTGTGAAGGTGTTATCGGGACAAGAGTATGCTGCCAAGATAATAAACACCAAGAAACTCTCAGCTCGAGGTAGGTGCTCTCTGGGCTTACAGTACTACACAATATTAGGAAGGAGTCCTTTGGCCTAGACCTCTTCGCTACCCTGACCAGCATGTAATATAAACACTACTGTCTTATTTGCTTTGGGTGTTGCTCTTGTGATAATTAATACAGGACATACTGCAGGCTGCGGAAGGTCGGTAGTTCAGCAGTTCGAGACCCAAGTGTGCCCATGACGGAGTGAGCTCCCATCTCTAGTTCCAGCTCCTGCCAACCTAGCAGTTCGACAGCAAGAAATTGCAAGTAGATAAATAGGTACCACTTCAGTGGGAAGGTAACAGCGTTCCATGCGCCTTGGTGTTTAGTCATGCAGGCCACATGACCACGGAAACGTCTTCGGACAGCGCTGGCTCTTCGGCTTTGAAACGGAGATGAGCACCGCAACCCTAGAGTCGGATTCGACTGGCTTTCGAGCAAGGGAACCTTTACCTTTTAGAATCATTACAACTCCTATATGCTGAGGAGTATTTCTCCTTCATTATACAGAGCAAAGTTTCTTCTAGAGCAAGCCTTGTCATTTTAGGGGAAGGAGGTCACAGGATCCAACACAATGTTATCCACTTTACATAATGTTGGGCAGGGGAAAGAACAGCCCTAGCTAGGGGATAATGAGCCACTTGGGAACTTATTTTTTTTCTTTCCGGCAGGGGTGGGTGATCCAAAAAGCACACATATAATTGAGAGCCAAAATTCATACCAACATTGGTCCTTGTCCCAGAACCTCCTACAACCCCACAGAACTCCCAGGATGGCTGCTTGTCTTCTGCTGGCTCTTTCTGTTTGCCCCTATTTCCATATCTCTTTCTTATCTCCCTGGATCATCAGGATATCATGGACAGTTGCTTATCTATTTGGAAAATTTATATGCACCTCTCCTGGGAATCTGCCTAAGGCAGCTTACAAAGTAAAACACAATAAAAACATAAATATCACAAAAACATTAACTAATAGCAGGCATTAAAAAAACAGCCAAAACATTTAAAAACAAAAAAATGCAGAGCAGCATAAAATGAGTCTTGAACATTTCTCAGGTTTGAAAGAAAGATTATAAAACAATGTTTTTAAAAATCAACCCCTTAATCAAAAGCCTAGGTAAACAGAAATGTTGATTATATGGTTCTCTGTATGCCACAACAAAGTTGGAGAAAATAAGCCAGGGTGAAAATAAGACAATGGCAAGTCTCCATATTGAACAGTCTACTTCCTGAGCTACTTGAGAGCTCATTACCAAGCCACAATCTGACCACTCATGTTAGAATGTGTATTATAAAATTACTTCTTTTTCTTCTCTCTCTCCCACAGTTAAATGATTGCTATCCCCATTGCACAAAATGGAGAATCAAGCCTGAGACAGTAGCCTGACAATTTTTTTTCACTTGGGCCCATAATGGAGTTAAGATATGAATGTCCATGAACAGAATATCAGTCACTCACTCACACTATCAGCCCTTTGACTTCTTGCTAAAAAGGAGACAAGAAAACATCAAGCTTGTGTAAGATAAACACAGGTCTGCATTTAAGACTACTGTTGACTCGCTCTGTGTAGGCTACCCTTGAGGTTGACCTGGAAACACCAACTGGTCAAGAATGCAGTGGTGTGGGTACTTATGGGGACACTGATGGCAGCAAATATTCAAGCTGTGGTCCACCAGCTGCACTGGCTCCCAGTTGAATACCAGATCAAATTCAGGATTATGGTATTGACCTTTAAAGCTCTAAACGGTCTGGGACCAACGTATCTGAGGGGCCATCTCTCCTGATAGGTCCCTCAAAGGGTGCTTTTCTCAGATGGTAACAACTTGCTGGTGATCCCTGGCTTAAAGGCCATCCAGCTATCTGCAACCAGGGCCAAAGCCTTTTCAGCCCTGGCCCAAAGCTAGAGGAACACTCTTTACCCGGTAGAATGCTCTGTCCAATGAGATCCAGGCCCTGTGAGACTTGAAACAATTTCACAGGGCCTTCAAGAAAGAGCCACCAGGTACATGGTCAAGGATGAGTGACAGCTTCCCACTTTGGACCATCTCCTGAACTGCCTTTTATTGTGCCATCTAGTGAGGAATGAATATTATGACAGTTGTGACTTTTGGGATTGTTGATTTTTACTTAAGTTATATTTACTTGTGATGTTGATTTTAAATGTTGTGACCCGTCCTGAGCCCTACTGTATAGGAAAGTCCAATTTAATAAATAAGTAAAGAGACAGAATTCACTATCCAGTTCTTCAACAGGCATATGTAATTCTTTTTTTTTGACTTTGAATAGCTTTATTGTGTCAGCCAACAACTCAGAACGCACCGGGCCTTTCATAAAAGGTTGAGAATATCAGGATGGTCATATACTTTGCTTTTTTCCAGGGCCGTGTTAATACAGTTATACTCTGTCTTGCCACAAGCAAATAAGTGATCTGTTAAGGAGTTATCCTTTGGGTAATACCGACAGGGGACCATTGGTGTGGTGGGGGGCACAGCCCCGTAGTCGCTGGAGGTTGTTTTATACAGCAGCAGCTGGGGCCTGGTCAGGCAAGTGTTGGTGGTGAGCGTGGCCGCGTTCAGCATGCAGGAGAAGACGGGGTTGCCAGGGCTGGTGCAAGGCAGGTGCTGGAAAGAGGCCACTTTCTCTGCGCTGCCAGGCCTGGGCTGAGCATCCATGGCCTCTTCCTGCTGGCAAGAAAGAGAGCGAGACAGACAGACAGACAGGCGATGAGATGAGGACACATCAAGGGGGGCCATCCACATCCAGAATCAAGCCTGAGACAGTAGCCTGACAATTTTTTTTCACTTGGGCCCATAATGGAGTTAAGATGTGAATGTCCATGGACAGAATATCAGTCACTCACTCACACTACCTCTATCAGTCCTTTGATTTCTTGCTAAAAAGGAGACAAGAAAACATCAAGCTTGTGTAAGATAAACACAGGTCTGCATTTAAGACTACTGTTGACTCGCTCTGTGTAGGCTACCCTTGAGGTTGACCTGGAAACACCAACTGGTCAAGAATGCAGTGGTGTGGGTACTTATGGGGACACTGATGACAGCAAATATTCAAGCTGTGGTCCACCAGCTGCACTGGCTCCCAGTTGAATACCAGATCAAATTCAGGGTTATGGTATTGACCTTTAAAGCTCTAAACGGTCTGGGACCAACGTATCTGAGGGGCCATCTCTCCTGATAGGTCCCTCAAAGGGTGCTTTTCTCAGATGGTAACAACTTGCTGGTGATCCCTGGCTTAAAGGCCATCCAGCTATCTGCAACCAGGGCCAAAGCCTTTTCAGCCCTGGCCCAAAGCTAGAGGAACA